GACCTGCCGCCCTCCGTCCTCCGCAGGCTCGCTGGGGCCCGGCGCCATCGCGGCCATCGTCATCGCCGCCCTGCTGGCCACCTGCGTGGTGCTGGCGCTCGTGGTCGTCGCGCTGAGAAAGTTTTCCGCCTCCTGAAGCGAATAAAGGGGCCGCGCCCCCGCCGCGGCGCGACTCGGCTCTACCCTCGGTGGCGCCCCGGTGTCTCGAGTGTGTCCGCGCGTCCGCATGGGGGCGAGCGGGGCTGGCGACGACTCGCACCACGTGCGCGCGGGGCCGCCAGCAGGAACCGCGAGTGCTCGCGTAGGGGTCCCCCGCCCCCCAGCACAGCCCCGGTCCCCACACCCCCTCCCCGTCCCAGCCCCTGTCCCGAGAAGTGCCCGGGGCCCGCCCCCTGCGCTCCCGCTCAGACTCGAGCGTGGCCGCGGGCGCAGGAGAGGGGCTGAGCCGTCGGGGCTCCCAGCCCAAGGCTGGATTATTTTGGGGCCCGAGCTGGCCAGCCGGGCCCCATCTGCGGAGCTCCAGACCCGCCCCGCCAGCGTCCCCAGGACCCCCTCCGCCCCAGGGAGCCGCAGGAGCAACCCGGTTCCCAGACCGACCGCAGCCCCAGGCTGCCTCCCTCCTCCCAGCAGCTTGGCCCCGGACCTCAGTTCTTGGTCACGTCTTTTGTTTTCCCTGCTTCCTGGGAAACCTCGCTTTTATCATTTAGAAGGCGATTTAAAATAGAGGCTGAGCTGCTCGGAGCACAGCAGGGAAGAAGCCACAACTGCGTCCCTTTGGAGTGAAATAGAAGACTGGAGGCCCGGAGGAGGGGCCGTCTGCGCACCCGGGAGGGTTTGATAGCCAGGGCCCTGGGCGGCCTGTGCGTGGTGCCGGTGGTGGAAGGAAGCTGTTCGTCCTCTTCTTTCTCTGCTCTTTGTAGCAACTCTTTTGGCTTCACTGGCTTCCCTGAGCTCCAGACCACGCCTGCTCCAGCTAAGACCAGTGTCCTCCCCCTCCTGGATACTCCAGATGAGCACTCGCTCAAAACACATGAAGGGTTAAAAGTTTCTGCTTCTATTATAAAGGACTGTTGTAAAACCGAGCAGCTTTCATGCAGCGGTTTACATGACTTCATCGCACACAACCTCATAACCAAAGCCCTAGTCGGTACAGATGATCCGAATCAGCAGGCTTCAAAAAGATAAACTGGACAAGGGCCAGAACCGAGGGTCACTCCCTCCCCTTTGCCCCAAGGTCCCCGCCCCCAAGAGCAGCACAGGGCTCAGGAATGGCCCCTCTCCCCCTCTGCCCACTCTTGGGGGCCTTGAGTGGGGGTCTTCCCCCTGGGGGTGTAACAGAGGCCCGAGCATCAGTCCGTCACTGTTGAGCCAGAGTGTGGCACGTCTGCATGCTCAGAAATCCATCCAAGTGTCAGAGGGTCCGAGGTCTCAAGAACGCCAAGAGCCATGCTGTGGCCTGTGGGAAGAAGGCTACGAAGTCCCACTTGACTCAAATCCCGGGCTTCTAACGAAAGGCCTGTTCTGGCACGGAGCAGAGTGCATCCCGGCAGAAAGAGTGTGGTCCCAAGTAGGGCTGGGCAGGGTCAGATTCCAGGCCCGCCACACTCCGGGACAGAGCCAGGAGTGGGGCTGGGGTATCTGTGAGGGTTACCTGGGCTGGGGGAGGAGCTGCAGCCTTTGGGGGAACTTGCTAGCACCAAAAGCGGGAAGCAGTGCCCGAGGTATGAAGCCCCAGCCCCATGCCTGGTGTTAGACATCGTGTGGGACCACCACCCACTGATAGTCCCACCGTGTTTTCCAAACACGAGTTCTCGCTTCCACTGCGGCAGAAGGGTGTCCCCGACTCCCTCAAATTGCCTCTTCTGTTTCTGGAATCCTTCCATTGGTGGAGCCCCAAATCTCCTTCCATTCTGAGATCCTAACCCTGGCTGCTTTTCCTTATCCTGGAAGCCATCTCAACCCCTTTCTTCAGGACCTGCCTCCTCCATTAGCCTTGAAAGGAGTTCTTCTCTCCCTGCCCAGAACCAAACACCTCATTCCCGTGTGCAGCAAGGCAATAAAGAGTAGACCTTCACCTCCTTTATTTTATACATGATGCTTCTTTTAATGCAGCCAAAAATGATATTTGCTTTTCTCGGAACCAAAACCGATACAGGATGCAGTGACCAATTCATTCCTTACAACACCTGGGCTCCTGAAGGGGCCAGAAGACACAAGTTACATCCAGCTTGTCAGGGAGCCAGAGGTGGCGTGGGCCCTCGGCCAAGCTCTGGTAGGCCTGCTGTGAAGCAGGGCCTGGCCGTGCAGCCAGAGGCTGGCGGAGGCTTGGGGAGGGGAGGACAGAGGCATTTTTGGTCTCTTGGTCCTTTGAACTGGAGACCAAGGGCTGCTCAGCAAGCTCAGGCAAGGGCGGGCCATCTGCACGCACGCACGGAGGATTCCGATGGCTTCCAGGGGAGGGAAGGACACGTGCAGGCGGTCACGACAGTCCTTCCGCCCTGCCCTCAGCCAGGGACACTCCCGGTCTGGGGCTTCCTCCAGCGCCTGGGGAGGCGCCGATGCACCTCCGCCCCCTCTGAGAGACAAGAGGGACAGGTGGCATGATACTGTTGAAAACACACTTTCTCGTTTGCGAATGCAGCAGAGGAAGGACGTAGGCACCCCTTCTCCCGCTTGCAAGCAAGGGGGCCGAGACGCACGTGGCAGGGGGAGGGGCGGGGCGGGGGTGGCTCCCGCGCGAGGCGCTTGCCGTCCCCCAGAGCCCTCCACCATCTGTCGGGGGCTGCCTGCCCCGCGGCGCTGCTCCAGACCGCCCACGTCCTTCCCCCAGGCTGGCGACCGAGGCCGGGGGTCATTGCCGGTTTCGACTGCCCAGCTTCCTGCGGTCCCTATTCTGGCTGCGCTGAGGGTCGTCCATCTTGTGGACACGGAAACATTCTTTGAGGTTCTGGGACCGGATCTTGGGATTCAGGATCTCCTCGGTCATGGAGCTGGGGAACCAGCCTCTCTCCTGGTCATGCAGACGCTCGCCAAAGATCCACCCTGTGTAGAGAGGGGTCGGGGAGGGTAAGCAGCTCTTGTGGGGTGAGAGCGGAGGGCTGAGCCCCCAGCCCGGCCAGGGAGTCCGGCTGGCCCCTCCAGAGGACACCTGCTCGACGAACCCCTGCCGGAGACAGGGAGTTTGGGTCTGTCTCCCCATGAGCTGGGAGAGCACTGCCCTGACCCCCTCCTGGGGAACGTGGTCCTAGGGTGCCACGGGGTGTCCCAAATATATTGACTTCGGAACCCATTCCCGAGCCCTCAGCAACTGTCGGCTGCCCAACGTGAGGCCAGGAGACCCCAGGGACGCCCCCCAAAGGGAGAGGTACCTAAGCTGACCACCTGGTGTCTGGAATGCCACCATCACTCTGTTGGGCAGCCTGTCCCTGAGCCCTGGCCTCATGACATCTGCTTCTGCACATGGGGTGTAGACACCCCCACCTTATCCCTCAGGCTGGTGCAGAGTCCCGGGGGTGGGGGCGGCACGAGTGGGAGATGCACCCAGACCCCCAGCCCTCACCGTCTTCCGTCTTTTCCAGGATGTTCAGGATGTCGGCCAACTCCAGGGTCAGCTCATCTGGCTGCTGGGCCACATACGGGTGCACACACTGGACCTGAGGGCAGTCTGAGGGGAGGACGGGGAGGTGGCACGTCCTCGTCACCACGTCACCCGCCCTGCTCGGGACCCAGCAAACCCCGGACACCCCCCGTCGGTAGCAGGGCAGGCCTGCCTGTAACACAGCACCCGGAAAGGGTCTGTTTGAGGGAGAGGACAGTTTGGCTGCAGAGAAAACGTGACTAAGATAGCCAGGGGCTCTGGAGAAAAACAGTATATGGGTAAAGGGCTGGACGGGCTGGGAGGGGGTCTGATTTTGGACTTGAGAAGGCACTCCCCGGACCTGACGTGCTGGCCGCAGTTTGGGAGGCCCGGACTCGGCAAGCACAGGCAGGGCTAGGAGCTGCTCTGTGAGGCAGGTGCACAGGCACCCTTTTATATTTTATAAGGTTTTCAGAGAGCGGGCAACCCCAAAAAGATCACTGGCATTTGTCTTCTGGGTTCAGATTCCTTTCGTTTCCTGGTGGTACCTGTCACTTAAGACTCAGTGACTTGCCTCTTCACTAAGCACACAAACGTTTGCAAAGCTCAGGCAGCCCTATGTCCACCATCAGGGTACTAAGCTCGCAGCTCACACACAGGCCTTCTGGGCCGGGGAAGCTGAGCTGGCCTCTGGGGGCTGGTAAGCACTGCCCCACCAGGAATGTGGAGAATGCCTGCCCCTCACCTGCGCTCATCTGCCCTCGCCTGCCCCACCCAGCAGGCAGCCTCCTCCCTGAGGGCACTCACCCAGCAGCCGAGAAGTGAAGGAAACAAACTTGGTTCTCCGGTTGGGGGCCAGCGAGGTCATCCAACGTTTCATCTCACTCCTGGGACACAGAGGACGACTGCCGGAAACACAGAGCGACCGCCCTTCCTCCCCCCGGGGAGCTTGGTGCCCAAGCATCCCACGAGGCCACAGCAGGACAGCTCGGGGGCGGGGGGGGGGGGGCAGAATCCGGGCAGAGGCATGGGGGAGTCCTGGAGACTCTCCCCGACACACCTGAATGTCAGCTGGTGAGGGAGAGCCCTCCCGGACACCCCCAAAGGCACCCCGGAAACCACAAGCTCTCAGACATGTCGTTGTCCCCGTCCGGATGGTGGGAGCTGGACGGAGATGGGTGGGGTGGCCTGTGAGCTCTGGCGGGGACAAGCGCCGGGGTGATGAGATGGCCCCGGGGCTGTCCAGGGATGTGGTGCACTGGTCAGCCTGGCCCGAGGCTTCTACGTCTCATCAGAAAAGGCCCTTCCAGGGTCCAGGCCCCAGAGGGCACACACACGCACCCCCGACAGAAGCCCTGCCCTTGGGGCCTGGGCGGCCAGGGGGCCACGAAGCATGTGCCGAACCAGAGCCCTGGTCCGCCAGGGAAGGAGGCACGGAGGTGCCATGGGGCCGGGGCTGGGGCCGGGGCCGGCGGTGCTGGGCACTCACTGCGAGGTCGCCTTCAGCATGTAGGTGGCCTCCCGGTCGTCCGCATTCTCCAGCAGCCGCAGGATGAACACGTTGGCCAGCGTCTGGCCCTGGTCCTCCAGCTCCTCCACGCGGAGGAGGCCCCTCGGGGCCGAGTCAAACACTTGGTACTTGTCTCTGGGGACCGAGGGGGGCAGGGTTGAGGGTGCCAGCCCCCAGGAGGCCCCAGGGTCCCAGGGAACCACCCTGCCAGTCCTGCTGGCCCCACCATTTGGCCACGCCTCACCTCATTCTGGAAGCCCTGGATGTCAACACGGATCCCTCTCACCCCGAGACTTCCTCTTCCCACGGCCCCACCGTGGCCCCCAGGCCAGTTAAGCCTCATCCTCCGCTGCTCCTGCTCCGCAGCGGCAGCAACCTCACTGCTTACCCAGGAATCTGCCGGCAGATCACCAGCAGGTCGTTGAAGAGGAAGAGGTAAATTTCCCGGAAGAGTTTCTTGGTCCGCAGGGTTCGGGATGTCTTGGGGCCCGCCATCTGCCGCAGCTCGCCCTGCTTCAGCAGCCAGCGGGAGTGGGAGATGATGGGCACCGACTGGGTGGGTGGGGGGTGGCGTCAGAACAGCTGTGCCCCCCCCCCCCCCCCCTGTACTCCCCCGAGGTCCCCCTGGGCCTCGCTGGAGTCCTAACCCGAGGGACAGCTTGGGGGTGCTGCAATGGGGGGTTGAGGGGAAGGAGCAGTCCTGGGCAAATGTAGGAAGGGCAGCGTGTGTGTGTGTGTGTGTGTGTGTGTGTGTGTGTGCGCACGTGCACAAGGGTGCACGCTCCCATGGACACGTATGTGGCTGTGTATGTGTATCTGTGCCTGTGTGTAGCTGTGCATTTGTCTGTTGTGCATGTGTCTGTGTGTGCTTCTGTGTATATGTGCTTGTGTCTATGGGGACTTGTGTCTGTACCTGTGTGAGGGTCGTCGTTCCCTACCAGGCTCAGCCCGTGTGATGCGGAATCAGAAGGGGAGCCAAGGTCACAGGGGAGAGG